GGATTGATCGGGCGTCATTTTAGGTCAGCGATCTGCTCCAACCTTCATGAAGTCCAAATACAGTATCTTTCGGCCTCCCTGTGATCATTAAATTTGAAATGAGCGTTAAAAACTAACCCACAAAGCATATTCTCCCGTAAAAAGTCGTTTGGTTTTGACCATGGCTTGACCTTCATGCCTGTCCCAAGGTAAATGGAATAAGTCGACATCCTAAATCTAATTTTTTAATTCTCGCATAAATCATGTCAACGATTTATGACTTCGTCTAACACGCCGTTGTCGCATCAGATCGAGTCATTCTCAGGGCGTTACGTTTGCTCACGGCCAGTCTGGTTCTGACCAACCATAAGTTAGTGATCTTACAAGTGATTTGTCGTTTTGTGCCAAAAGATTGGCTCTCCATCATCTACAGCTGTTTCATGTTTCGTGCGGTTGCGCCAGGTCGTTCGGAACCTTTCCGGAGAACCCATCCGAGGGTCCAATCGAGCCCGCCCACCGTAGCGCATGTTAAGGTCGGTCTACTTTGGTAAGATGAGCCGACTCCGATCAGTGGGACGCCATCGGCTGGTGCGATCACGCCCTATGGGCTCAACATGGGTAATATGAAATTTGCAAAGTGCAACAAAATCGCCGCGACGGGTGCCGAAGCCAGGTCCACAGCCCGGCAACATTCTTTTTCCGTAAAACAGAATCAGCATATTTGTTTCCGCATAAGAACGAACTATTGCATGCCTAAAAGTGCGAAAATGTTGTGAAATTGAACAGTTCACTCCCAAATACGTCGCAAATGTAGCAGACAACTAACGTAAATAAATGGCACATCTTTTGCTGAAAAATGCAAAACTGCTGCATTTGCATAGCTAGAATTATTAAATGTCTGCTTGAGACTGTTCCACGCATGCCCAATGATGTTGTGCCGGTATAGTCTAAATAGGAAATCTTTGAGTTTGCCGATGCATGCGTATCGGTAGAACCGCAAGCGTTCTGTCTTAACGTTCACCTACTTTCATCAAGCGTACCTGAAACCTCCCATACTAGCTGCTTTGATGAACTTCAGGTCAACCATTAGAGCCACTAGGCTTGCCTGCTTCCATCATCTACGCTTGAAGCAAGTCTGCCCGCGGTCCCAGCCATGGCTACTACGTCTGCGCGCTCTTCCAGTGGTGATGCGCGTGCATACCCCGGGCTATCTAGCGGCGGAAGCGGACGCTGTATTCCCCAGACCTCGCCACCGGCCGGGAGGGTGGCATTTGTGGAGGCGACGCCGAAACACTGCTTGTCCGCCCTGCCTCAGGGGGTCAGAATCAGCATTCCTATTGCAGAGGTGAGAAAGATAGTCTTTGAGCGATGTACGAAATGGGCGCTCTTAGTAATGCGCTCGCAACGCATGATGAACTGTTTTCCCAATTTGCTGTTAATTGCACGCTGGGGGCCAATATATGGCGGGTCCTAGTCATGACCTTTTTGACTGTAGGCCCCTGTACTTTCAGAAATAGTCCGCTAGTAACTGCGCTGGATATTGATGCACGCTGGCAGGTACCTGGCGGCTTGGTTGTCTGTGTTTCGGAATTATAAGTTTGGATCTTTATCTTGAAAGAATAAACCTGTAATATGCCAGGAGGTGCTGGTTAAATAACGCTATCAAGCAACACTCGTGTTAAAGAATCAACCAGCAAATCATTCAAGCTAACGCACCTAAATAATGGATATATGGTGCTACGCTGATGGCTGCACGAAATACAACGCCTAGGGCGGAAAGTACCAATGACCTATAAGAATAAAAGATCGCAACACTCTTCACCAAACATCAGGCATCACGAATGACACGAAAACCACGAACATCCGGCTATTCAGTCTGCCCCGTCCTAGCACCCGATGCATGGTGCTGCCATGAGGGCTTCTCGAAGCACAGGTAGCTATGCCAAATGATTTCGATGACCCATAGCGAGTACAGGGAAAAACTTTGTCAGCGGTCACTTGTTTTAATCAGCGCGAATGAGAACCTGTTCCCAAGCAAACAGCAGCTAAACACGCTGCTCAAGCCAGCCGCTCAGACCAAGCTTGTGAGTTAAGTCTCGGACAAATATTACGAGTGTACAGCGATTCTTATATATATTCGTGAGCATTGTCTTAAAATGTTGGAAAAGTTGTCATCTTATAGTTGGTGTGTGTTGAAAATCCTACTGCCAGCTGCTTATCCTGGGATCCCCAGGAATGTTCAAACTAGTACGTATACTTAAACTAGGACCACTAAAGTTGTCCTGTAGTGATAGGACTAATCCACTGGTCTACCCTACTCTAAGGCTGTGTAATCCCTTCGGTCCCACGGCGGCGTAAGTGATGATCAATTGATGACTTGCACAGCTACATATCTTGAGAGAGAGAGAGAGAGAGAGAAGGAGAGAGAGAGAGAGATAGAGAGAGAGAGAGAAGAGAGAGAGAGAGAGAAGAGAATAGATAGAGAGAGAAGAGAGAAGAGAGAGATCGATAACGAGCTATCAGAGATAGATAGAGACTCTCGCTCGATCTCTCTGCTGTCGCTCGATCTCTCTCTCTCTCTAGCGAGATCTCTCTCTCGCTCGACTCTCTCTCTCTCGCCTCTCGCGAGCTCTCGTCGGCTTCTC